CGCCGCTATACTTGCCTTTCAGGAAATAGTCCTTTCCCTCCTCCGGTACAGGTGTTCCATCTACACTCCATACTGCCGTCAAGTGCAGCCCTTCGCTATGGATTTTGAATTTCGCTGGCAAATTGAGAACAATCTTTGATCAGTGCAGTCACCTGCGTACACCCCTGTGTACTGATGTGCAAGTTTAGGTCAGCATGTAAACGTGTCCTGCCATAGAGATGTACATGCGGCTACATGCAGATACATGCAGCACCTGTCTCTCCCGGACACAGGTTTCTGCGCTAACACTGTATGGCTGTGCATGCTTATGTGAATGAGGCCTTATAGCACCCATCTTTCTGCATGTAACACATTCCTGTATAGACTACACCCAGGAAAGCAAAATTAACAATAACCAAATGTAGTGTTTGGCGTAAAGCTCCTGTACTGGGATCCTCTGCACCAATGTCCAGCTTTTCTTCACTGAAACTCCTGCTCTGCAATATTTATTCATTGTACCTCAAATTAAAGTGACCCCATCATCCAGAGAAAAAAAAGCCAGACTGCTTGCCTGTATTGATTTAGGGGGTCAACATCTTCACCCTTGGCACTGGATGACCTTGTCCAAGCACTGCACACACATTGTTTTACCTTTCTACTAAGCATCATATAATATACATCATCAACAGTGTCCATGCTAACATGGATAACAGACAAAAGTGCCGAAATGTTAGCTCAGTGCAAATGTTCTGCAGTTTTGCACTGTTTGAATGCTGACAAATGTATGAAAAATGTAAAGGATCCTAGGTGCGTGTTCGGATCTTAACATAACACATGTATTGTACTGGCGATTCAATATCGAGCACACTGGATTTATTTTCTTACATTGTGAACTGAGCAAATAAAATTATTTCATAAATTATCTCTGGCTTGTTGTGTTTGGCAAGGGGCTGGTTTAAAGAAACAATGATAGCTCTGTTCAACAAGACATAAGCTCTCCTGTCTGTTTCGGTTCAATTTCTTGATAGATTTCCTTACACATAATTATGAGCCCCATTATTAGGAGGAAGAAATGAAAAGTCAACAAAACAGGATGTCTAATGTTATTATTACAGACATGCTGCTGTAACAGTGCAGTAGATATGACAGTATTAGTAGGTGATAGACATATCAGTGAACATTCTCACTCTACTCCTGCATGGCCCAATTCTGTAATTTAATGTCAAAGACCATGTACATCCTTTCCTATGTTATCTCTTACTCATAACTCCACTTTTGTTCACAAGGTTGTTACGGACCCAAGCAGGAAGTAATTAGAGGAAGACTAGGGGCTGCCGCTTCATGTGACCACGGCTTAATGCAACTAAAAAAATCGGCTTTTAATTAGGGTTTTTTTTTTTTTTATCCAGCAATCAGATAGTGGGGCGTGGAGGGAGGGCTGGGTGATGTTTTAAAATGTGTCCTGAAGTTGGGCTTTAAATCTATTGTTTTTTACCTGGAGATCCTGCCAGTAGCAGAACAGAGCCATTACCTTTCAATTAGCAGCAGCGTTGACAGCCGGGATGACTATCTGTTAAACCTGCAACTGGAAATGCTAGTAGACTGGCTAAAATACTAAGCCACTAGCTGCAATACATTATCAGTCACCAGCCTGGAACAAGTATGCATATCAGAACAGTCAAAAAAAAGTCAGAGCTCCTTAAATGTATACTTGTTACATCTTTGGTACTGCTTACTTACCTATATCCCAGTTTCTTTGCAATTGACTTAAAATTAGACATTGTTGCTATGGCACATATCTTTTTTTGGCTGCTCTAACGGTGTGATTCCAGCATCATGGGGTTTAAAATTGAGTATACTATTTGGTAGAGTTACCTGTTGATTGAGCATGAAGCCCCACAGGAATATTAATCCTGACCCCTTTTGCTAAATGTTTAAAATGCCAATATGAAGTGACATTCTAGTACATGCAATAACCTTCAAGGCCTCTGATGGCGTATACTGAAGTGTCTGGCATGGAATCTTCTCGAAGTTCGCAGTACATTTTGATTGTGCCCATGTTGAATGTGGTCTGCTGTTGCTCTCACACTGACCAGGTAACAGCTTTTATTAGGCTCACGCGTTCATTTTGTTATTCCACAAAACAAACCATTCATGCCATTACCACAAACTATGTTAGGGTTTTAGTGACTTTACAATGTATTTCTGCTGTCATGTTGTTTGGTTATATACATGTAGCAAATAGCAGCAGCAGAAGTGAACATAAAAACCCTTACATTTACCAGTATGCCAAGGACAATTTATAGAATGTTTTACTTTTCTTTTTACCTTAATTTACCCTGACAGATGTCTCCTGAATGTTTCTCAGAAATATTCCATCTGACAACCTGAGAAACACTTGATGAATTAAATGAATGTGTCTCACCAAATGAAATCACCTCATTAGATTTTTCAGATGTTTTATTCAAACATCATGCTAGCTCCACCTTGTACCTTGAGCACATATCCATGTAAGGGTAATGTAGCTTCATGTATACTGATCTCTACCATTCACATTCTGCTGAGTCAACCCCTCATGTATGCCTTGTGCTAAACTAATGCAGTTATAAACTGTCTGTGCTCCAGTAGAAAAAAGGATACAATATTGCTGTAGGGAAACTATATGTCTTTTCCACGGTACAGTTCTCTTATATTGATTTCAATGTAATACACAGTATTCACAGCTTTGTTGCTTCCTTATACACTGCATCACATACATCACTGTTGGGTCAGTGGTGATGCACGTTAGAGACAGTGGATGCATCCTTTTTAATGGGATCTACTACGGGGATTTTTTCTGTGCAGTGAGGACTGAACAGGTTTCCCCCTGAATGATATTTTATATGACAAAGATTGTAAAGAGTATTCAAGAGTACCAGCTTTTAACATTTTTTATTAAAGGTTTTATTTTTTTTTGTAAATTCTTTTTATTGGATTTTTATGTTATTAAAAGTTTTATGAAGAAGGTCTGTACCTCGCTATGTACCTGGGGCTGGGGGAAGCATCCGCAGGAGCCTATGCATTGTACACATGAACCACTGATCGCAGTTGCAATGCTTTCATGGCTCTAATACAAAAAATATTAAATGCACACTTTTTCTTTCATCAATGTATTCATTTATTTATTATTGCAAAAGGTGGACTATGCCTTTAAATTTAGAGACTGCTATGGTGAGGTCAAAGACCTCTGCACTGTGATAATTGAGCAGCTTGTTCATTGTAGGGCTGCAACTAGCGATCATTTTCAGAATCGGTTAGTTGGACAATTATTTTTTCGATTAATCGGTTAAAGAAAAAATAAATAAATACCATCTTTAATTTGCAATTAAATACACAAATGAAGTGTAAAAGTTTACTTCAGAATAAAACGGTATGCACCTTTTTTGCAATCACACTCCACTGGAAATTTCTTAATGTAATTTTTTTTTTTTTTTTAACTACATTGCTATCTCATGGGGTGGGGCTCACAAGCCCCCTATGTGATAGCACTTTTGAGATGACAGGTTCTCTTTAAGGTGACATTAGGGGTCTATTAGATCCTTAGTGTCACCTTTCCACTTCACTGGGGAATGAGGCAGCTGAATGTGAATACAGTGTGCAGTGGCTGGGAGCAATAGCCATTCTATTTTAAATTACAATAGCAGGATGGCTATTGCACCAGCCCACTGCTGTCAATCAGCAGAGGAGGGAAATGAAGAACGTTCTCCTTCAGGTCCTCCTCTGCATTCCCCCCCACTCTATGGGGGGGGGGATGCAGAGTCACCACAGTCTCTCCTCTCCGCTGGTGCTGGCTGCAGTGGTCTGTGTCCCTGTTGCCGCCGCCGATACTGGCGGTGAGAGCAGCAGGGATTGAAAGGGACACAGACTGCTGCAGGCAGCAGCACTGGGGAGGAGAACGGAAGAGCACAGCGGCGGCGGGGATTCAACTAATCGAAAATAAACGAAACAACTATGAGAATCGTTAACAACAATCTTTATCGATTAGTTGTTTCAGCCCTAGTTCATTGTACATGATGTAGACACTGCAGGTCATGTGGCTGGAAAACAGAACTTATCTTTAGTAAATATAACCCATTATATTAACACTACTGTTTCAGGGGCTGCAGGGACAAGAGAAAATACATAGTTTGTAGAGAAAGTGCACTTTTGCTAAATGTGTCATTTCTGTGAAGTTTTATTGTGAAGACCTGCCCTCAATTCCTAGCGTGTCACTAGGAAGTGAGGGAAAGTTCATACAAGGTTTTTTACAAGTTACAATCCACTGGAAATCTGCTTCCTTACCTACATGGTACATTATTCACAATGTGATAAACTTTCAATACCAAAACGGACTGTGACTTACCAATGGACACACAAACGATGACAATATAGTGATGAAAAAAAAGGATAGAGACAATAGAATTGTGAACACCGTTTCCACATACCCAAAAAGAGTCATGGCTCTTATTTATGCCTTCTGGTACTCCCTGTAGGACTATTGGTTCAATCGTCTCCACAAAAAATGTGACTAGGCCTACAAAGAGGTCTAATTGAATGCTAGCAAGTAGCCAGATTCCAGCTATTCTGCTGAAATGAGGGTACATTTTGCACAAGTAACAGCAGCACAGGCTGTATTTTCTGCTGTTGGCATAGATCAGACTTTCACTGAGGAGAGAATTATACCAAGGCTCAATTCTTTAGTCTAATCAGGTGTTGAGCTTCAGAGCCTCAATTTAACACAATTCAACACCATAGCTACCTACATTTCAAAGTATTTTTAGGAAAATGTTGTTATTGCACCATAGCACTTAAAGTGTATGTAAACCCTAAAGGTGGCCATACACTGTACAACCATCGCAAGACCTTAGTCTTGCGATGGTTGTAAAGTGATTAAAAAAACGTACGATCTGCCCTTCTTGGACAGGCAGATCGCACTCTCGATCATCGCAAGCCCGCCCCCCTGAGGGGGGGGGCTTCCGATGACCGCAATGCTGAAAGGGCAGTGTGCGCGTGCGCACACTGGCCCATTTGGCATTTGTCTCCCGAGCACCGTTCAAACCAGCCGAAAATCGTACGATTCTCGGCTGGTTTTCTAACATGCTCCTTAGACAAAAGACGTGCGACCGTACAGTAGAAACGGTTGCACGTCTTCGTTCACACTGTTCGATTCTCGTACGATCGCGGGATTTCCCGCGATTCTCGTACGAGAATCGAGCAGTGTATGGGCACCTTAACAATTAGCTCATCTTGTTTGCTCCCTTTGGATCTGTAAAATCTACAACTAAAAGTGTTTTGTTATATTTGTTCAATAAGTGCAAAAAATACCTCTTGACCCTGCTTGAAATCTTATAAGCGGAAGACTTCCTGTACTCTCTGCCTGCACTGCACACATCAGTTTCATTGTTCCAAACTCCTTTTGTACTACAAAACATCTCTTCCTATGTTATAGTGGAAAGAAAAAGGGGGGTTCTACAGTCTATTTCTAGTGTAATGACACTTTCATAATTGCTGCATGGTGAATGAACATGGTCACCATAAGGCTGGACGTGTGTTACTGGCAGGATCACTAGGTGAGCATAAAAGAAAAAGAATATATGTAAGGAACATCTATGGAGAGAAATGCTTTACATTTGTGTTCTGGGGATTAGACACACAATTACTCATTCTTGCAGTGTCAATGTAATCCTTACAAGCATCATTGATTGGATAACTGGGAGAGTATAGGACCATATTGAGTTTCTATTATGCATCTAATGACTGGAACCATTATCAGACATAAGGACTTTTCAGGTTGTTGTAAAATATCTATCTGATCAAGTACTATTAATGATAACATAAAAGAAAATTTAGAAGAGGCTATAATAAAGGGATAAATATACCAGATCGTGTAACTGCTATGAGCCCAAAGGTATAGGAGACCCAGAACATCAGTTACATGGGCAATAATATATTTAACCTAATGTAATGTTATTTGATAAAGACAAAAGCGCACATTAAAAGTTTGTTTCCGATTTGAAGGGATTGGAAGGGTAACTGTTAGCCACTGTTGAGTTTTCACTGCTGTCCTTGACCGTGTTGTGAAAGGTTCTCCATTATTTCCTCTTCTAGTAACCACACGAGAAGTTAGCAAAAATGCCACCAATGGGGTCATAGACAGCAATGAAAAACAGAAGTGTTAACCTTTCGCCTCTCTATTGAAAACAAGAAAAAATGTTTATGTTAAAGCGCCGCTTTAAAACTGATATAACATAGGGATAAGACAAAAATGCAAACTTTGCAGATTGGTACAGAGCTGTAAAGCATTTTGCTAGATAAAAGTACACCTAAATGATCAGAATAAATACCTGTCTTACCTTCTACGGCTCTTTTAAAAAACACTTTACAGCTGCCGCAGGTCAATACTCCATAGTGACACCCGGAGGCTTCATCAGAACACACCAAACAGAGCTTGGGAGGCGGTCCGGTGCTGGTAGAAGAACTGGACGGAGAAGGACTCACATCTGGTCTCATTCCCGGGCTAGTTTAAAAAGACAAAAGTTTGTTTATTCAGCTGGAAATAACATTCATTATAGATAGTCAGTATTTTATTTTATTCATGTTACTTAGGAATAGTTCTACAATTCATTTAATTTTCCCAGTGCTGTACCCCTTCCCAATAATGAAATATAACATATTATATTTCTATACATAACATACACTGTCATAAAAAATCAATTCAACTGGATATTTGGAATACAAATATTAAAATCTATAATGGACGTCTTTATAAAGTGCTTTTTAGAGCACAGTCATCTTTTCTCCTAGTCAAAGGAAGAGTTACAGGATTAGTTCATATAAAAGTGACATTTCAAATTCCCAAGTACTTTTTTGGAACTTTAGTGGGTTGATCCCCTCCATCAGACTCCTAAGTGGCATACATCCACTGTGAAGTCTCACTTTTCCAAATTGATTTTTTTTATATTGTAACATAACTAAGAATACAACAGGGATTGAGATGCTTGCAATGTGGTGACAGGTGTGCAACCTTGGGAACTTAAATGTAGAGATTTTCACTATGCAAGCAAATGCATACGTTGGTGGGTGATCGCATTTGACCAAACTGTTTTGGGCACACCAACCTTTGAAGTTGTACAGTATGCAAAGTGCATATCCAGGAAATTAATGAAAACACTTTATAGAAGGTACTGTATAAACACGCACATACATACAAAACAGGCGGCTGTCCTTTAAATATCACATCGACAACAAACCATCACATCTGGTGGACATTTATGCAGCTTTTGACCTGTCTGCAAGTTCTAGCTATAGTAACAGTACTACAAGCCACATGAATGTCAAGGGAAATATTAATTTAGCACCATCCTGAAGAAGTAAAGGAATCTGATCCATTGATGGAGCACTGGATTGCACTCAGCATTATCTCAACATCTTTCCCAGGTACCTCCTGAGCCCAGGGGTGGACAAAATAATAAGGAATTAATTCAGGAGCCAGTCTGTCCAATTTAGGAGCCAATAGAAGTTTTCGTAGCAGCCAGCTCCAATACACAACTAGAGAAAATCTCAAAAGTTTGGCGCCAGCTGTAATTTTTAAGAAGTGTTGGCTACCTGGCTCCTGGGATTTTAGGACCAGCTCAAGTCCTAACCGGCTTGTGGAAAAGCTGCAACTCCATCAGACTGTTACATGGAATTTGTGTGTACACAAGATCTAAGAAACCAGTAAGTAACTTTTTGGACTTTGCACTACTTTAGTTGCATGTTAATTTTACGTAGTTCTTTTAACATTCGGCAAAGCTCTTCAAAATGTATCATCTTCAAAGGGAACTTTTGAACAGTTGAACAATTACATAACGATCTGCAAGGGATCAAAACATGAAAAAAAGCATCTCTCTAAATTCTACACAACCACATCTACTTGTTATAATGAAGGCTGGCCATATACTGACTGATTCCCCCATGCACGCTAACAGTGTGGATGAGTGAATCCAAGCCTAACCCGGCCAAAAGCTGAGAATTTTCTGACCCTCCCCTCAAAACCTGAGCATTTTTGGACCAGCTCCTTCCACAAAAGTCGATTAAAAAATGTACTTTTGCCGAACAGGAACAGGGTCCAAGGGGGACTACATACTAGTGACCTGTGTATGGCCAGATGAACTTTACAACACACATTATTTAGTTTGGTGTGTTAAACACAATATGGTCATTAGAGATATTGTACACCCTGATCTTGCCTTAAAAAGAGTCCATTTGAAGTTAAAATCCCCCAGAAAGTGAAGCTTTTTTTTTCTTATACAGTAGTGAGATTTTTTATGACAAGATTGATGTATGTACTAAGCTCAATAGCTATACTATAACCTCTGTAAAGGGGTGTATAGCTGTGTATATTTCTGGCGATGTAGGTATAGTAAAGGGATCCTGTCCAGTGCTAACATATCAACAGTACAAACAGAACGAGGTGAGAGTGTCTGCTTAGCTGTATGTGTGGATTGTAACATGTACAGACAAAGCAGCTCTTCTCCTGGGGCTTGGTTACCAGAGCCAAGCTTTTCTTCTATGAGCATAGATCATTTCAATTAAAGTTATGTTGTTACTTAAAAAAATCCAGCAAACTTGTTATAGTGCTAGTTGCATAATTATTCATGGATAGCCCGACAGTGAATTTTCTAAATTGTGACCGTTTGTTGACTTTATTCACCTGTTTTTTAGCTTAAAGTTGGTTTTCTATATTTTTTGCTTCGGTTTTAAAAACACAATGGGGGAAATAAAGTGAAATATGTCGCTTTTGTGATGTAAATATTGCCACATTTTCCATGCACCAAATTATTGTTACAAGACAAGTTCTATGTGGTGTGGCACCATCTGCACCAAATCAAGCTCAAAGTGTGACAGTTCCTATAAATGTTTGATTGTGTGCGCCAAAATAATAACACACTCGCAGCAATGTTCCAATTTAAAACACCATTACCAGAGTGGTGAAAATTCTGTAGTGAAGAGGGGCCACAGTGAAGATCAGTATTGCAGCGAGGAGAGGGGAATAAGTATGGATGGCCTACGAAATGCAACAATGCAGGAAGGAGATCATTTCAGATGATCCCAGTGGAAGATTTTCTTTGATTTGTGCCAAATTTTGTCGCATAGTGGAGGAAGTGCAATCGAATATGGCGCACCACCAGCACCATGAAACAAAGTAATGAATTGGCATCTGCCACTTTTACTAATTTGTCACAGAAAGCAGGTGCATAGAAACTCATGCATTTTTCTTTGTTAATCCCCCAATCGGTATATTGTCGTTGAAGGTTATTACGCAGTTGAAAGGTGTTTGACTCTTGTTGAATGTACATCCTCATATGCAGGTCACAGTATAAATGGATGATGTGTACAATTCTATAAATATACTAAACTCCTTAAAGGAGAACTGAGATGAGTGATTTCCACTCACCTCATAGTTCTAGCCGACCTGTGACAATGAGACTGTCACAGGTCGGCTCAGTAGATCGGGAGGTGATAAAAATTCATGTCAGAAGGAGGTTAGCTGCAGGCCATATGAACTTGTCAGCGTATTCTGAACAATCTCAGAAGCACCTCAAACTGATGCCGTAGACATTAGCCCAAGGCCCATCAACAACGACCCCAAGCCAAGCGACACAAAGTGCAGACCTGCCGTGTACTGTCACCTTGATCTCCAGCCTGATACTAAGTGCTATAGAGCTTTTGGCCCACTTTTTATGTAACAATAAATACAATATAGTTTGATTAACTCTTACACTAGGACTTGATTATTCCTTTTTACATAGCCTTTGTACTTGCAGTATTTAGTATTCAGGAAACCTTCAAAGGATAACTGTACTGTATTTCATTAAATCAATGTTAACCTGCTCTACTTCTGCAACAAGAAAGGAAATAGCACACCAACCATCCACCCTGCAGAACACATCCTATTAACTGCTCTGCACAGTGCTTGCCAAGTGCAACCTTCTAGCGCTATTAAAACTAGGTGCATGCAAGCTCAAGTTGGGACCTTGAAGTGGAGAATAATGGAAACATATATGGAGCTACAAAGCTCAGAGCACAGAACATGGTGTTTTCTGCAGGATAAAGACAACGGGAGCTAGTACATTTTTTTCTTGCTGCAGTAGCTGGTAAAACAAAGTGTGTTGGAGGGAAGGGAGGGACTTAACCTTTGAAAGATCCGGCACTCTTATATGAAGTCATTATAACTGATAAATCAAACTGCAGTCTGCAGACCCAGAGCATGTGCAGCTGCAAGGCACGTGACATCCAAGATCATGGTTCTCAGTCTGCTACAAAGTGGAAGGGTCCAAATCACCTGGTGAAAGGGAATGATAGAATCCTAGAAAAAAAATGGATTATATTGCAGCTTATCAGTCCTTTTTTCACCTGGTGATCCTTAAGGTGCCAATTCACCTTACGATTATCGGACGAAACTTTTCGTCGGATGATCGAATAGTCGTACGATTTTCGTACGGCAGCCCCATCCTGCCCCGCAAGATTAATTTAGCCGTAATTAACGAAAAGCACCTGGACGAAATGCGGTAATTGATTTACCGTATTTTCGTTAGCGCAAGCGCAGTGTAGATCGTACGACTTTTGATGGACGGAAACACCAGCAACCTTACGAAAACCGTACAATCTAGCAAAGTTTTCAAACATGCTTGACCGTCAAAAGTCGTACGATTGTACAGTAATGTTGGTCGGACACTGCAATGCACACATACGATTATCGGGCGAAAAGTCGATCGCATACGAAAATCGTCCGATAATCGTAAGGTGTATGGGCACCTTTACAGTTACACACTTTCTGTCCTAAGGTGCCCACACACCTTGCGATAATCGTACGATAATCATGGGAAATCCCGCGATCGTACGATTATCGTAAGGTGTGTGGAAGCCGTGCGACCTCTACTACTGTAAGGTCGCACGACTTTTATCTTACGAACATGTTCGAAAACCCGTGGAGAATCGAACAAGCGCACACTGCCCGTTCGGAATTGCGGTCATCGGAAGCCGCGATCGTCGCAAGTACGATCTGCCTGTCCAAGATAGGCAGAGCGTAATTTTTTTTAATTACCTTACAACCATCGCAAGACAAAAGTCTTGCGATGGTTGTAAGGTGTGTGCCCAGCTCTAGAGTGGCAACAATTACTTATCTGTAGAGAATCAGCATTGTCAGGGAGTGTGCTAGGACTACAGAAAACACCCTTTCCTCATCTGCATAACATAACAGTAGGTGTTTTGTAGGCCATAGAGATATCAGGGAACAAAGATAACTGACAAAAGTGCAGCACAGGAAACGTGCACTGGACATTATCAGCTCCCAAGATTTCTGGCAGCACATATTTCCTTTTGCACGTATTAATAGATATAACAAAAAACTTTTGATGGCATTTTTAAAGGCCAAAAGGGAACACATAAGAAAAGTTCAATATCAGGGTTTACATACACGTTAAATCATGAAAGTATAGTTAGCCATCTGAATCGGAATGTGATCCTCCCAAACCA